AAAATTAAAATCCTAATAAAAGACAACAATTAAAGTCATAATAAAAGACTAAAAGACTAAAGTCCTAATAAAAGACTAACAACTAATTGTGGACTGACACTTAACTAACTAGTAGTTGTATAGGAGTACAATAGAAAGAGGTGGGGACCACATCAGTGGTTTCTACAAAACTATTGTTATGTATTAGAGATGAGCCTATTAATTTAGCTAAAAATATGAGTGTTCATGAGTTGGTTCGGCTCGGTCGTAGGCTATTTGGCCAACCAAATTAACTTGGTCAGGTTGGGGAGTTGGTCAACTGAAACCGACCCACTCAAGTTGTATTGGTTTGGGTCGTTTTTTGGTTTGGTCAGTCGGTTCAAAAGACTTAAACTTAAAAATTAAATTAAATTTTAAAAATTATAGAGCAATTATTAAAAATTAGATTTATGATATAAAACATTTTAGACTAAGAAATATGGAAAATTTCCCACTTTTCCATATTAAAAATTATATTTAAAATATAAAATATTAATATATATCCATGGCCAGGTTATTCGCTTTTGGTTGGTTTACAAATGGCCAAAATGAAATTTATCTAACTTGGTCGAATTGGGAAATTTTTGAATCAAAGCCGACCTAAAATACTAGAAATCGACCAACTCGGGTCGAGTTGATCGGGTTGGTCGATTTCATCAATTTGATGAATAAACCTAAATGAAATTAATTATTGTTATTTTTGTATTATAAAAAAATTATTAAAAGTASTATATAAAATAYRAATAATTATTWATTATTTAAAAAGTTGAAAATATAAAACAATTGTATTCTCTTATGTGATTCTATTAGGGTCATTTACTAGAACACATTTTATAGTTTTACATATTTACTTAAACCTACCTTATAGTTTTCTTTTTATTAAAACATCCCATATCTTTTACAACTTATTTACTTAATCAACTTTTCATTAAGGATTGTTTGTTTTTCCATTAGGCCCATGATTTTTTATTCCCAAAATACCCTTAACACTTTTTTTTGTATAGAAAACAAAATTAACCAAATATAGCCAATAGAATGGTTATCCGTGTCTTATAAGGGGCAAAATTGGTATTTTCATTTTTATTTTCTTTTAATTAAATTTATTTAAATGAACATTAGGGTCAACACTATCATTTTCCATTGTCATCTAATAGAGGATTAATTAAATCCATAGCAAATTATAAGTGGTGTTTTAGTAAAATTTTAACTATAGGGTAGATTTTAGTAAATCCAAGAAACTATAAGGGGTATTTTAGTAAATGACCCTTTCTATTATTTAGCTTTCGATTAATAAATCCCGTGCATCGCACGAGTCCCCACTCGTATATATATTAAAACAAAGCGGTCAAGAAGTTTTCTCCTTTTCTTGAATTTTTTATTTTTTTATTCCATGTCATTTTTGAAACAACCAATGAAATGCACTTTCCCAATAACCTAAATAATCTCATCTCCTAAACTACCTCCCCCACTTTCTCCTAAATTATCTCGAATTCCTATTTATCTTCTAAATTATCTCTAATTTTTATTTATCTCCAAAATTATTTCTAATTTAGTAGAGAGTTTCTCTCCTAAATTATCTCTAATTCCTATTTATCCTCTCCCCCACTTTTTATCTATATCTTTCTAAAGAAAGTTTGGATTAAAAAATTAGAATTATTTAAATATTCTAACGAAATTATATAATAACATTAAACAATTAATTAAAAATATAAAAAATAATTTTATATTTTTACAAAATATAAAAAATAATTTTATATTTTTACAAAATATATCATGAAATTATGTACTAAAAATTTAAATTTTGCTTTTCCAGATTATCAATTTAAATGTTATTCAAATAATAAAAATTTAACATTAAAAATAATTTATTATTTAAATATTTCAATAAATAAATATCTTAAATAACAAAATATTATAAATATATCAATAATTATATAACAAAATATTTAGTAATATGTAATAGATTTAAATAAATAAAATAAAAATAAAAAATTAAATATTTTACATATTACTTAAAATTTTAAATAACTAAATATTTAACATAACTATATTTTAAATAGTTAAAATAACGAAAATATGTAATAAATTAAAAACAAATTCTTAAAAGTAGAAAACTAATTATAACATAATGTTGAAATTAATAATAATTTAATGTCTTACAAAATTATTAAAGAAATTGTGTATTTATAGTATAAATTATAATTTTATGGATTATTAATTTCAATAAATGACAAAAAAATTTAAATATTTTACATATTACTTAAATATTCAAATAATTAAATATTTAACATAACTATATTTTAAATAGTTAAAATAACGAAATTATGTAATAAATTTAAAAAATTTCTTAAAAGTAGAAAATAATTATAACATGATATTGGAATTAATAATAATTTAATATCTTACAAAAGTAATAATGAAATTATGTAATAATTGTATAAATAATTTTTTTTGATTATTAAATTCAATAAATAATTAATAGTTTTGAAATTAAATATTTTAAATATTCTTTAATTATTTAAATTACTAAATAATTTAAATAACAAAATATTTATCATAACTATATTTTAATTTTGTTAAAATATAGAAGCTATGTAATAAATTAAAAAGAAATCTGAAAAGTAGAAAATAATTATAACGTAATATTGAAATTAATAATAATTTAATATTATAAATAACTTTAATAACAATTTAATATTTTTACATAATATTGTATATAACTAGTTTCACTTATATCAATTAATAATTCGAGAAAATAACTTTCATAAGAATCAATATTTATTAATAATAATTTTAAACTCCGAATATATATTTATTATATAATTATATATACTAATATTAATATTTATTGTATTTTAGTAATCATTTATTGTTTTTTGTGATAAATGCATGTTCAATAATTATGTATAAATTTATTTTTGTTTTGTTATTTAATAGGAAACTTTCACTAATTATTGGGTTTAAACTATGATTATTGAAAATTTTTAAATTTGTTTATTGTACTTATTGTATTTTTGTTATAACTTATTGGTTAATATTTATTAGAGATTAAACTATTCTTTGAGATTATACTATTTATTGAGTAATTTAATATATTTTTAGTAATTATTGTATTTTTTCATTATCAATATATTTTCAATAATTATTGGAGATTAAACTATTGTTATTTATTAAAGATGAGACTATTGATTTAACTAAAATTATGAGTATTCATGAGTTAGTTTGGTTCGGTTGTTGGTTGTTTGGCCAACAAAATTGACCTGGTCAAGTTGGGGAGTTGGTCAGTTGAAACCGACTGACCATTTGTAAAAACCAACCCACTTAGGTTGTATCGATTTGGGTCAGCCTTTTGGTTTGGTCAGTTGGTTGAAGTCGGGCGGGTTGGGCCAGGTTTATGGTCAACCCAGGCCTAACCCTAAAATTTGGGTTTAAGGTCTGAGCCCCGCCCGAGCCTGATTTTATTTATTAAATATACAAATAAATCTCGTGCACAAAAGGTTAATTTGCTACTATTAAAGCACTGTCATTTCGGGTCCCCGCTTTATTATGTTAACCTATTGAAATAACAATAATTTTTAAAATTTTGAAACCAACTGAAGTATAGATTTTTTTAAAGTTATTAAAAGTATTTATTGTTTTAAATTTATCTAAAATTAATTATTGTTATTTTTTATCAAAATTTATTAAAAGTAGTATATAAAGTATAAATGATTATTAATTATTATTTATCTTTCACTCATCCTGTGCATTGATTTTATAATATAATCAATTTAATTGTGATATTTTATTGCAACACTGTCATTTTCCACCGTCATCTAATGAAAGATTGATTAAATCCATTGCAAATCATAAGTGGTATTTTAGTAAAATTTTAACTATAGGGTAGAGTTTAGAAAATCTATGAAACTATAAGGGGTATTTTAGTAAATAACTCTTTCTATTATTTTTCTTTCGCTTAATAAATCCCGTGCATCGCACCGGTCCCCACTAGAATATACACATAATAAGATGTTTCCAATTTTGAACCCTGGCCACCCACATTGCGCCAAGGCCCACCCTCTCTTTGTTAAACAATGCGAACTGCTCAAAAACCCACCAGGCTTTTCGATCAGTAAAAGGGCACTTAATTAGGGTCATATTGTCCATTGGTTCAACCCAATGTGGCAGTTATCTGTAACAATAAAATCAGAATTATTTAATAAATAAAAAAACCCGAAAAAACTGAACATTTGTTCAACGATAGAAGATGGTGTAAACTAATCGTGGGCAACGTTTTCATTTATTAGATATTTGATGCAGAGTCAAATTGCTCATATTGCTGGTCCACTTAACTCGGCTATATACTGATTACACCATAGATCCATGAAATAGATACTCCTAATCCTGGTTTTAAGGTAGTGAAGAAATGCAACTATATCATATTGCCAACATGGATCCATGAAATGGATACTAATTGGTCCCTAGAGATGGGAGGAAGGGGCAGCGATGGGCGACCACGCACTGAGCATTGGAGATGCAGCAGGCCCACTCCTTGATGGTTTCTTTATAACATGAGGCAGAGGAGGCTCAGCCACATCAGAGTCTGTCAGGACAGGGCTAGGAGCCTCTGCCAGTGGCAAATACTCAGCAGAAATGGCTTGAAAGAGATTGCCTGGCTGAACAGGTCTCATGTAACTGGGTATATTATCTCCCCTGTTTAAACATCGGTTCTCTGCATCAATAAAAAGATCCAAAACACCAATCACTTAGAATATGCTTTGCATTGTTGTATAGAACTACAAAGCATAAGATTAGACAGCCTTTATATAGTTAAATGATTTGCAAAATCAGATGCCTACTTACTTCTGTACATTATAGCTGTTCCTGGGAAGTCAGTAATGACTCCATCAATCCCAGCTCCCATGACAAATGAATTAATCTCAACAACCGGGTCTGAGTAGAAGTCCCAGGCAGAAGATACAAATTCATTCCTGAATACAGATGTATAAACGGTGAGATTGAATGAGTGTAGCTTCGATACAATTTTAGTGACACCAGTGAGGAAGGCGCTATTGAGAGGAAATATGGATGACTTTCTGATCACCAAAGAATGGGCAAATTGTTTGATGTCCATGATGGATGCTTTATCGGCATCACGGATAACTTCATCAATTTTGTACACCAACTGGTAATTGGTTTTCTCTTTGAACTTGATTAAAACAGAGCTGTTAGTAGACTGGATCATAATCTTCTGGTTGGTTTGGTTATTATGGCCAGACTTCTTTAAAGCATCAACCACTGCGTCAATTACACTTAACCCCAGATTCTCCACAATATAGGCTGCATTCTGCAGGAAAAGCAAACAAAACAAATGTCATGATACAGCTAAAAGTAAGGAGGATTCCCAAAGAGGAAATAAATGAGGAAGATTTAAGTCAAGATGGGAAAGCTAACTTGATCATCAGAAAAGGGACCTGCCATTTGACACATATGATGTATTCTATCTTTGGCATTTTAAAGATAATAATGGAACTTCTCTATGCAGAAGCAGAACCACCCACCCTTTTCTTTGTCCAGACTAATCATATGTGAATTATTTACTAGTGAGAGCTGGTGGGTAAAAAGCAATAAATGCTTGCCTGTATGTTTATGGTTAGAATGAGGTGTGATTAGGAGGACAGCCTTCTGTTATTATGCCATCCTGACCAGGGATATTCGTTAACAGCAAAGGCCAGTTCTTGGTTGGTCAACCCCTATCTGTATACAAATCTTCATTTTGGATCTTGATTTCAGGAAACTTTTAGTTGCATTACAGTTGGTAATGATCCTACCTTGAAAAGTTGGGACCTAATTGAATAACTAGATATTTTTTCTCTAAAGGTTGCTTAATGCCCCCTGGCCTCCCAAAGGCTCAGTTTGGAAGGAGTAAAAATACAAATATGTAGAGCGCAGAACCTTGTATTTTGTATTATTTTATATGTATTTGCACTGTATTCTTGAATGGAATGATGGGTGTTATATTTTTGTACAGAGAAGTCTGGTATTATACTGACCTCTATGCTGATCAAGACTCCAGAAAGTGATTTGCTTTTTGCAAAGGCCAGAAAGTCATCCAATGATAAGAAGCTTCCTGCATTTTTATATGCAGGATTCCGGAACAAATTATAATCCATGAATGGATTTCTTATGGCCGCTGTGGTAAAAAAAAAAAAATAGAAAATCAGTGTAGTAATTCAAGGAACATTTTTTAAGTAACATGAGAGGTTGGAATATAATCATACTATTGTGGATGAATATGTGGTGATATGAGTCTAGATGTAAATAGGAAGTCATAAGAAGAAAGTTGATACATAGAGTCCCCATTGTTGTGGCCTTTGATAATTCCTATATTTCTAGGCTTTTCAATGGTTGCATCCTGTGTATTTTCATATAGCCATATACAACATGATATGACTATCTGCTAGCACATGTAGGGGGAGTGTATGGGGAAGTTCAACTTACTACTATACCAGATAGGAGTTAATTTTTCAGAATTGGTACAGAAAAATGTGTTTCTATATCATAGAAATGAACTAGATAGCTAATGCCACAGTGTTCTTCAAAATGACACCATTGAAACAAGCTCATATGGAACAAAAATGGTTTTCAGATAAGACATGCTTGACAGTGAGAGTGGTAATGAAGAATAACCAAGTACCAAGATGTAAGATAGCCCATTGCATATGGCTGTGTTTATTTTTGTCTTAATGGATGCCTAATCATTCAGATTGAAAAAATTTAGCTATTATTTCCAAACCTTTTAAAGTTTCTTTTCACCCTTTTTTTAATGTAAATGCAAAGGAAAACTGAGTTTTCATTGTAAAATAGAACATATAGCTTAAATATTTCGACCTGGAAAATTTTGTCCTTTTTATGTTGCAAGACAGGAATCATGTGCAAAAAAAAAAAAGTGGCAATTCTTACATTTAACAAAATCCTAAGAGTCTAAAGTGGCAATTCTTACATTTAACAAATTCCTAAGCGGACAGCAATTTAATGTGGTTATAGATAGGAATAATGATCTCTTTTAAGAATTTCAAAGATGTCCCAAGTACAAGGTCTTTTTCATTGAGCAAGATCCTGCCTAGGTGCTTTGCACAACAACGGAAAGGGAGAAGTAGATTAAGGCCATGTTTGGGAGTGCTTAAAAATAAGTGCTTATTCAAAACATATGTTTATTTGGGCCATTAAGCACTTATTGGTATTTGGGAAATAAGCCCAAAATAAGTGCTTATTTTAAAAATAAGGGCTTATTTTTTAAGCCCAAATTTCCAGCTTTTTTTAAGTGCTAATACAATAAGCACTCATTCAATTTTTTATTCGAAAATTATCCCTAGTTGAATTTTAAAATACCACTTATAAAATTATCCCTAGTTAAATTTTATATAAGTACTTTTATGAAAGCACTTTTATAAAAGTACTTTTACGAAAGCACTTAAGTACTTTTACAAAAGTACTTTTAGGAAAGCACTTTATAAAAGCACTTCCGTAAAAGTGCTTTCATAAAAGTACTTTCACAAAAGTTCTTACATAAGGGTATTTTCTTAAAAGTGCTTTTGTAAAAATGCTTTCGTAAAAGTGCTTTCATAAAAGTACTTTCATAAAAGTGTTTTTATAAAAGTAATTTAATAAAAGTGCTTTCAAAGGGCATATTTTGAAAATTTGAAAGAAAATTAAGGACAAAATAGTTACAAATGCTCATTTAAGTGCTTTATAGAGAAAAAAGACTACCAAACGCCCAATATAAAATTAGTGCTTATTTAAAAAAAATAAGCACTTAGAAAAGTTGGGTGCCAAATGCAAATAAGTGCTTATTCGAATAAGCACTTATTTTTAACTTAAGCACTCCCAAACATGACCTTAATGTGATCAGGCTTTTCTTTTTCTTTGTTTCTTTCTTTAACTTCCAACTAATTCATTAATGGAAAAGTGAGGTTAATTTCATTAGCTGCCAATTTCAACATCTCATTCTAGTTGAAAGCTATGCCTGTGAAAATGTATCAGATGATCCCACTAAAAGTGGAATCATGAGGGATGTCTTGTATTGGGGGTTCTTTGTCAAAGGGGGGATTTTTACTCTCTTTTGGTCTTGGTTATTTGGTTTCCAAGTACTCCTGTATCTTGGTGGGTTTATGGTTCTTGGTCTATCCTTCAGGACTGCCTCACTTGTATTTACCTCTGTACTTAAAAAGTATCTTTTAATTTCAAGGACAGCCAAATAGAAAAAAATTATAAGCTCTGCCTTGCATTGGGACAAAAAGAGTCATTTGAATACAAAAGTAAAACTCCATCTGTTTCAATGATCTGCACTTGTATAATCTGAACTGCCAACTCACCATCATATTCATATTAGAAAGCCATAAGAATGGTGGTTGACTTGCCACACTGCTAGTGTAGCAAAGAGAAGTGAATGAGCTTAGAATCTTACCTGTTGCAGCTCTAAAGGGTTCTGATTTTATTCTGTTAATGTAGCAAAGAAAATTGGATAATGAAGAAAATATTTTTCTCACAAAACATTATACTGTTAAAGCTTATTATATCAGATGAATAAACATAAAAATCCTCAATCTCTGTCAAGATTCTAAGAAAGTTAGGATCACATTCAAAATGTTCATCTTTTTTTAGGCATGCCATGCTTTTCTTCCAAAAATTAATTGAAGGTTGTAAATACAGTTTGTGTGTTAATATTCAGAGAACAAGCCAACTTACGCTTCAAGCTTTGTATCTCTTTCCAGGTGAGGCTGAAGGTGAAAATTCCAGGGGTTTCCTGAATCTCTGGAATATTAGAAGAACGAGAGTTGAATTGTGATTGAGCAACTGTTGTGCCATATAAAAGATCTATAGAGCCTAAGCATATGGGAATTCCATCCTTTGTCATTTGAACAGAACAGTCAATAACATCAGCACCATCTTCAACAGCTTGCTTATATGCAAGATCAGTGCAACCGGGATATACTCCACTAGCACCATTATGTGAGATAACAATTGGCATTGCTGACAAAGCAAGGTGAAACTAGTAAGTGGGCATTGATATATCTTATATTCTGAATTTGATTTGAATTCAAGGTTATGATTCCTAAGACAGAGTCAATATACGATTGGCAACATACCTTTTCCTGAACTTTTGTTGCTTATATGAGAAAAACAATCTGCAATAGTAGTAGGGAGAAATCAATTTCCAGAAGAAAAAAAGAATCTCTTGAAACTAAACATGTGATATATTGAAGCAAAGAAATCATGAAAGACCATTCAGCAATCAACTGAATAGGAAAAAAAAGGAAGAATATGAAACTAGGTGGAATAAACAAACCATAGCCCAACGGTGCATGGTACTCAACTGCACAACAAAGTAGAACATTGTTTCCTCCCAGACAAAAAAGAAACTGGCAGGAATTGTTTCAGTATGAACTTAGAAAATAATAGACCCATCCCGATTGGATAGCTCTATCCACAAAGAGTAGCATACTTTTTTGTGTGATTGCTCAAAATTTGTTCAATCTAATATTATCCTTTTATATAATAGTGTGATTGCTCAAAATGTGTTGCAAAAGAATATCATTTTCATGGCTATGCATACTTGTATGGCACTAAAACTGCTTCAAAATCCACTAAAATTCTATTGGACCACTGAACAACATCAACATTATTGGACCCTATTAATAGACCCCCAGAAAAACTAAAAACAGGAGTTTCAACGTGTTCCAATGCTAAATACAGTTTCAATAGATAAAATAATAAGAATATCAATATTGGGCAAAACCACCTAGAGGGATCCCTTAGTGATTTTTCACTAGTCATCTCTATGCAAGGTCATAATTTCACTCTTGATGCAAGATAGTTCCTTATGTAATTCGTTGAGCGCTACTCTTCATGTTCTTTAATGGGGGCCTGCCGATGACCTAGCATTTGAGATGGGTCAGTTGGCATCTGTCCAAAATAGGAGGTGCAGGATCAAACCAGGAAACCTCAGGCTCTCCGTGGTATGGCCAATGGGCCTCACTTGCACCCAGATATATCCCCACCCCTGATTCCCCTGTAATGTGTACTTCTAATGTCCAAAAAAATAATAAAATAATGGGGGCCTCAATGTTGTAGATACAACTGATCTGCTTGTTTAAGGCCATTACCCAATGTTAGTCCCAGCTATATGGGGTATTGAGATGGGTAGACTGGATATGGTCCTAACCTTGGCATTTTGTTTTGGTAACGAAGTGGCCTTTCTCAGACTTGAACAAGCATTCTCATGCTTGTTACCCCAAAATTTTATCAGTTTACACCAAGTAATGGCCCCTTAAAATCATAAGAACGTATACCGCCCCAATTTCCATATATAATCTACAGATTATTGAGTGGTTAGCTAGCTTTCTGATGCCTCTTCATTTTTTAGACTTGGGACACTCAACAAAACTATATAATCTTCACAATGGATCTTCTAGGTAACATTCTGATCCTAGTAAATACAGGCAATGCCAAAATTCACCTTCCTGGGAGGAAATGAACATGGAATAGAACCCTTGGCAGTGGTGGGATAACATAAGGTATGATATGTTGAATTTTTCCCCTTTAAATGTACAGTCCTAGCCATAATTAATACAGTTCTTTTGTTAACTTAGAAAATCAGAGAATATCCATGAACTATGTATGCCCTAACTTAACTTTCAATTCAGTGAATTCACATTTCCTCTAATGATCATTTACCAACTTTCCAGACTGACTGCCTCTATTCAAATTTTGAATTGTGTGGGCTTTTAGTAAGGCAAGATGCATGGAAATAACCTACATCTATTAACAAATTTTAACATATTCAAAAAACTCTTCAGAAGCAGAACAAAATTATAATGGCCCAAAAATGGAATTAAGGAAAATTAATGGAAGTAACAGTACATATACATAATTGATGGATTACTAACAGAGTTCAAAGATGACCTTCTGGGCAGTTCCAAGTGATGGGCTCCATGTATATGAGAAAACCATTCAAATCTATCAGATTAAAGCAGTTTTTCATGCCCAGACAACTCTATGGTGGTAATACTAATTATACTTAAGGCAGGGTATCATTTTTTGTTATCAAATCTTATTGGAAATACATTAGATATATAAATATATTAAGTAGTAGACGTTAATATGTCTGAACCAGTTATAGTCATAAACAAAAAATCAATGCCATCGTTTATGCTGAACAATTAGTTGTTAAGTATTCCACATTCTCAAATTTTAAAAATGATGCACGTTTTTATTAGGAATATAGTTTGTAAGATATGACCGGAGGCGGAGAAGAGCTTACCTATGGCTGCCGATGGAGTTACAGGGAAATCGGACAGGACACCATCAACAGAGAAATCACCATTGTCAATGAAAGAGAGGTACTCAGCGAGTGGATTGTAGCTGTAATTGTAGCTAAACACTACGTCATTTGCAAAATCTGACGCAAACACTTCCAGGCCTTCCCTATGAGCATCTGACACAATGGAGGTATGATGTTGTAGGTATAAAGCTGTGTTTACAGGCCATATGTAGTTCTTGGGAACAAGGATTCCAGAGGCAAATTTCTTGATAAATTTTAGATTTTTCAAAAGTGAACCATAAGTCTGGTTAGTCGAAGGCTCAATCTCATCAGATCCTAGAAAGCGGAAGATGAGTTTGGTTTTGCTTCCTTTAAATCGCTCTGCAATGGTGCTCAGGAAGGCCACCTCCGGTGATGAGATGTAATTAATGACAAAACGTCTAGATGCTGAAAGAATGTAGCTTCTCATGCTCAACTTGTGTTGCCTGTAGAATGCATCATACTGCAAAACCAGAAGAAGAAGAAGAAGAAGAAGAAGAAGAAGAAGAAGAAGAAATCAAGTTGACACCAACTGAAACAATATCTAGTTTGAAAAATGGCGTAAAAAACTAACCAACCTGAATATTCAACCATAAGCCTGGCGGTTTTAGTTTAATTGCCACATCTTCAACAGTAAGAATATTGTAACGATTACCATCGAATTTGTTAGTTCGGTAGTAAATTCCCTGCATTACTGGGCCAAGTGCAAGTGGTACAGGAAGAGGAAACTGTTAGTCCTAAGCACTATATATAAAAAATGAAATTCAGTAGTCAGTTTTAGAAGCTTGTTCATACAATATACATGGTAGTTTAAATTCTGCATTACAATATGGTAGTTTAAATTCCAATAACCATGGGCTAAGGTTTAGTCCCTTAGAGAATTATAAAACTTCTGTGATACGTTCAAAGAATTATAGAACTTAGAACAATATTAAGAAATATAACTAATTAAGCAGACGACCTCTTTATTGAAATAACATGAGGGGAACTCAGAAATATATTATGCATCATCCTTTCAGTGTGGAGGTCGTCTCTTATTTGTATTTTGTAATGAGTTTCTTTCTGTTAATGTCTAGAAATATATTAATAGCCAATCATAGAGTTCAGGTATCAAGCTTAGAAGGAACTCAGAAAAGAAAAAAAAAGAAATCCAACTTACAGTAGACACTTTTTAAGTCATCCAGGGTATAGTCCACAGAAAACCATCCTCTAGTGGATTGGCCATTGACAAGGTAGATCCTACTATTTCTGAAAACAGAAGAAATGTCAGAAGAGTTCTCCAGCTTGATGTTGGGAAAGCATATCCCAGCTCCATCCTTTGTCAGTTGTACATCACACCACAGAATCACATTAGATAAACTAGTATTCAGTGCCAGCTGGTAGGAAGCAAAGCTGGAATCAGGAAAGATCCCTGGAAAGCCACCCCTAGCTATGACTAAAGGTGCATTTCCTGCAAACAAACAAGAACCAATACATAAACAACTCTAGAAACCAGAAGGACCAAAAAATGAAAAGATCAAATCCAACCCATATATAAAATCGATGTTAATGTTATCATGAATTGAAAACACAGGCATTAGAAATGAATATTATCAGGCTTAACAAGCATTAAACGCAAGTTAAGAACTGCTTGCTATTCTTGCCAAACAAATTGGCCTTAAAATTACACCGGGCCCAACTCTCACAAGCAAGTTAATCTAGTATTCACCACTGATAAAGAAAAATATGTAGGAGAAAAGAAAAATGAGGAAGAAGCAGGACTAAACATACATTAAACGCAACGAAAAGCAAGCAAATTAACGAGTGAACACACCAGTTAACGTCAGCCATGAACTGGAATTCCGTGAAGCCACGACCAGACCAACGGAGTGAAGAACAAATAAAAGAAATGGCAAACGGAATATCGGCATGGTAGGGGCTGGAACAATTTTCACGACTTCTTTCGTTCAGCTATGAGAGTGATCGTGCTTTATCACAAATTGACTTATAAATAACGGTGCCCCCAGGCCCTCAGGCCCCATCATCGTGGAAAATTCAAAATTCCTTCGTATGTAAATGGTCAATAAGTCAATACTTTATGTATAGGCTAGTTCTGGGCCCGCCGGCCCCGTGGTGGATATAATAATCATATAAAAACGATAAGATCTAACTTTTCCTGATCTGAGAACTTTGAGTCGTTGACTCGTACAAGTCTATCCCGTGGGGTACTCGCCACTACTTGCACTTACGGAAGGATGGGTTTTGGAACTCTATAATCCATGGTTTTGAAAATTAGACTGGATCAGATGGTCGGACCAGTTGACTCAGTCAGACAATCGGCTCCGTTTCACCGTAAAACGGTTCTGTGTTTAGTCTAGTTTTTAAAACCTTGTTATAACTCATATATCTACAAGTAGGGTATGGGATCTTTTCTGACCTGTATGAAAAGCATATAAATTTTATGCATTAGATGTTGATTTTGATAATATTTTGAATTTTATGTGAAGGATAATTTATAGTTATAGTATATTTTACATGTCTTAATCAAATAAGTTTGTTGGTTTTTGTTATTTTACCTATTTGTTGCTTATATATAACAAAATATAATAAGAAATTAGATGCAGGTTTTAAACCCAATCCGCCCCTACCCTTGAATGCAGGGAGGTTTGCATTTTCATGTATGAGGGTTTGGATTCTCAAAATCTAGCCTGCTATGGATTGGGAGGTTTAGGGAGGCGGATAGGGTTTAGAATGTACAAAACCCTCTTGAACCAGCCCTACTGCCATCCCTATTTTCTTTCGGTAAGAAGAAAAACGAGTTGCAACATAAATCGGATTTAATCCAAACAAAACTGTTCTCACACCATCCTCATCTCCTTGCAGAGGTGGACCCCATGAATAAAAAACATACAAATAGGGAGATGTTGCCAATGTACAGCGACAAAAAGCTATGAGGACAGTGTGAGGACCAAACCCACTCTTGTTGTGCAGCATACATCCAATAATTTTTCCAGAGAAGTACACTGCAGCCCACTGTAGAATTCTGAAATTACAGCCCCTCATGGTTTATTACTAGCCCCCTATAAACCACATCATGCATGTGGATTTGGCATCAATCCACGGTCAGAATTCATCCCACCTGTACCGTGGGGCTAAGAATTCTGATATGGGCTGAACAGTCATTATCCCTAATTCTTCCCATGATTGGGGTTAAGGCGCACTCAGAGTCTCACACACGATTGTTGTACAAATGTACACATCCGTTGTAGATGCAACCCTATTTAAAAACGCTGCACACAAGTTCTAAACACCAGTAAGTTAAATTAATATCAAACTCAAAAATCAATTAATCTATTTCCAATATATGGATTAGTTAAATTAGTTATTTGAACTCGAGTTCCACTAATAAATTGGTCAACTTAAAAGTTCAAAGTTCATATGAAGCTGATATAAAAGAAAAACATATTATATATTTGTAAAATAAAAAAAAATATTTTAATTGAATTGAGTCCAATGTAAAAGTATTTTAATTGAATTGACATGCCAAATTTAGATTTAACTTGATTCGATTGCATCTCTAGATAAATTACAAGTGGCAAATATGTAGAGAACACTGATGTGGACCCCATGGTTGTGGTCCCCACTGTGTTCGTATGGCAGCACAACATGTATTCTTTGTTAGTTATGTCAGTGTTAGTTGGTAGTTATTTCAGTTTGTTGTTACAGCTTGTTATTTCAACTTTATTATTAGTTTATTTGCCATGCAAGCAATAAGGGCAATTCAACCTTTTTACAATTAGTAAACATATAAATATTAAGAGTGGGTCGGCAGATCATAACAATTCGACCCTCTCTCTCTCCTTTTCTAAAACCCTTCATGTGCTTCTGCTTTCTCCCTCTTTTCTTCTTCTTTTCTCCTTCTGAAATCTTTTCTTTTTACTTTCAGATTCAAGACTGATTGTAGTCTTGATCGACTACTTGGTATCAGAGCAAGGATTAGGGTTTCTCATGTGAGCTGATCCAGCCAACCAAATGAGAGTTGCCTAGGGCTAGGAGACTAAGAAGGAGGATTGACTGATTCTTGGAGGCTACTGGTAGTGTGCGGCTACTACTAAGAAGATTGTAGAAGGCTGGGAGAGTTCCAGTAGTCCGGAAGAACTAGAAAAGGCTTCGGATCTCCAAGATTAGGGTTTCACACCAGACAGAAGGCGGTGGCCAGAGATCTTCTTTCACAAAGTAAGTTTTTGCTTGAGAACAACCTTGAAAGAACCATCTTGGTCTATTCTGAGAGGTGCGGTTGAAACTTTTTTCTCTTTAGGGTTTTGAGAGAAAACCCTAAAATTCAGAACTGTCGATTGGTTTTAGATCAGATCTGAACTGGTTTCACCCTAAAAATTCAGAATTGTCGATTGGTTTCAGATCAGATCTGAACCGGGTTCATACAGAATTCTATTTTTCCCTTGTTTGTGGATGACCTAGGTCGGCTGTTATCAGTTGCTTAGGTGTTGTTTCCTATTACAGTAGCTTCAAAAGTTTTTGATTGCTAATTCTTAACCAGAATGGAGTTCAAGAATCAGGGGGAAAGTGCTTTTGGGACTAGCAATTTTGGTAATATGTCTGAGAATGCATTTCAGATTACAACTGTGAGGTTTGATGGATCCAACTACTTAGAATGAGCCCAATCGGCCATGATGGCTATTGGGGGTAGAGGAAAACTTAGCTACCTATTGGGAGATGTGAAAGAACCATCTAAGGAGGACCAAATGTATACCAAATGGGTTCAGGAGAACTACTTGGTTATGACATGGCTGTGCAACTCTATACAACCACATATTAGCCGAAACTATTTGTGGGCAAAAACAACCAAGAAAATCTAGGATGTCATGAAAGAGACCTACTCCCAACCCCTTAATGTTGCTAGGGCCTATGAATTGAAGTGTGAGGTTAATAACCTCAAGCAAGGAGAGAAACCAGTCTCTGTTTATTTCTCTACTTTGAAATCTTTGTGGCATGAAATTGACCATCTAGAAACACTTGAGTGGGAAAGTCAGAAGGATGCACAGACTCATAAAAAGCAAGTGAAGACTAATAGGGTTTTTGAATTCCTAGCTGGTCTGAATTTTGATTATGATATTGTGAGAGCAGATACAAACAAGGGATAGTGTGACCTTATCTCAAGCCTACTCATTGGTGCATAGTGAAGAGACTAGGAGAAAGGTTATGATGTAGCATCAACCCTTCCCACCAGCCTTGGCAACAGTTAAACCTAAGTCTGGGGGTGATACAAAAAGGGATATAAAGAAGGAAGATAAGCGGGATCTAGTATGTGAACATTGCAAAAACCTAAGCATACTAAAGACACATGTTGGAAGTTGCACCCTCATCTAGTCCCAGCAAAACTGAGGAACAAAATGAGTAATGCCCATATGGCTATTAATACCGATTTTGCCCCCCATTGGGCACAAAAGGCACACCTCTAGACACCTTAGCTGCTGTTCGGGCTGCCCTAACACAGTTGGAAAAGGAAGTTGGGAATTCAGCTCAATCATCTCAGTCATCATCAGCTCCTTCAACATTAGCCTTTGCTCATTCAGGTACTCAGGCCTCAGCTTACCATGCTTCAGCTCTAGGTAACACTGAACATTGTTGGGTATTAGACTCAGGTGCATCTGACCATATGACTAGTTTGCCATCACTGTTCACTACCTATCACTTATCTTTTGGTAGAGATAAAGTGTCCAATGCTGATGGTTCCCTTGTTCCCATTTCTGGTAAGGAAGACATCAAGTTGTCTAATACCATTTCCTTATCCTCAGTTTTGCATGTTCCTAAGCTTGATACTAACTTGCTTTCAATCAGTAGTATTACAAAACATCAGAACTGTTCAGTAGCCTTCTTCTCTGACCGATGTGTTTTTCAAGACTTGGAGACAAGGAATGTGATTGGGACTGGCTGTGAGACGAATGAGATATATCTGCTTAGGGAGAGTTCTCATTGGAAAGATCATGAAGATAAGAAGTCTTTTGTTTCTCAGTCTATTAGTCCGGTTATGCTTTGGCATAATCGGTTAGGTCATTTATCCTTTCGGTCTTTGAAGAGTTTGTTTCCTAATTTGTTTGAGTCTGTTCADATGTCAAAYTTGAGATRTRAGAGTTGTGAGCTTGCAAAGCATTGTAGAACATCTTATTCCTTGAGTAATAAAAGAAGTAGTAATTCTTTTGATATTGTGCACACCGACGTTTGGGGCCCATATCACATTCCTTCTATGGGAGGGTACATATATTTCTTGTTGTTTGTTGATGACTATACCCGTTTTTCTTGGGTTTACCTTATGCTTTCTCGAGATGAAGTTCCTGCTCTGACCCAGACCTTTCATCAGATGATTTTAATCCAGCTTGGAGTCAAAATCAAAATCCTCAGATCTGATAATGCCAAAGAATACTTTACCAAGCCACTGGCCTCTTATCTACTTGATCATGGGATTATTTACCAGAGTACTTGTCCAAATACAGCACAGCAGAATGGGGTTGCCGAGAGGAAGAATAGGCACATATTGGAGGTGGATAGAAGCATTATGTTTACCTCCAATGTGCCTATCCGTTTCTGGGGCGATGCTATTCTTACAGTAGTGTATCTCATTAATTGAGTTCCTTCATGGGTTCTTGACATGAAGCCTCCATTTACCCTTCTATACCCCGATGAAGATTTATTTACTGTTTCCCTTAAAACCTTTGGTTGCACTTGCTTTGTTCAGATCCTTGGATCTCATCGTTCCAAATTTGACCCTAAGGCCTCCAAATGCATTTTTCTCGGTTATGCACAAACTCAAAAGGGTTATTGTTGCTATGAACCTACTCTCGGGAGGAGATTTGTCTTGATGGATGTTACTTTCTTTGTGGAGGTACCCTATTACCCTAGGGTTTCTCCTCAG